AATAAAAGCAATCAGAATTGAACTTTCCATGCTCCCACCAGTCCCATCTATCTCCCCTCCCTGCACCTGTACTCATATATACTACTGGGGTGTTTTCCAACACCAACAACCAATTCTCCAATTCTCTGCAGACACCAATGGGTATCCTACAATTCAATTAAATCCTGACACTATCTACCGGGAATTAGTGTTAGGTCCCACCTACCCACTAAGGGAAGAAAGAACTTTCTCAACAGTCAAGACAAACTGCAGAGACAATCTCATCTGAGTTAAAAAAGAACATTACAATGGCATTAAGGATCTAGGTAATTTCTGGGAACAATACCAGCAAAGCTGCAAATGCCAGGAATATTCATCACAAGAGGTGGGATACTTTCTGTTTTTTTAAAAAAGTAAAAAAGAGTCTCTACATACATGAATATTTATTAAGTGCTATTATGTATCAACATAAATGTCCAGTAAATACCACTTACGGAATCTAGGTTTTAAGGATAATTTGTCAGGCCTAAATAAAGTCATATATCACTTAACACGTCCTTAGGTGATTTCATCATAGTACGAACATCACAGAGTTACTTATACAAACCTAGAGGTATGGCCTAGGCTATATATAGCCTATTGCTCTGACCACCATCATACATGCATGGTTGAACAAAAGTCCTATGTGGTGCATGGTTTTAACTACACAATTCCATAAGCGATCATTATCATTTTTGTGTTAGTGAACATGATCTAGTAAATTTTTATTTCATTTTCAATTATTTTTTCTCTATTCAAAATAAACAAATTCAAATTTTATTTTAAAATAGAATTTATTGAATATCATAGTGAATTCAATACATTTAAAAAGTGTTTTTCTTGTCAGTATTGGCACATGATAAAGATAACACCACTAAATTAACACTTCAAAAATTTTTAAATCATGTTCCATAAAAAAATAAAGCCTAGTAGTGTTATGAAAGTATTAATTTACACTAACTTACATATCAAAGTGTTAAAAAAAGAATCCAACACTCAAACCAATCACCTAAATAGTAAAAATTCATGTTCTTAAAAAGCTTCTCATTTGAATAAAATATGACAGGAGGTATAAAACAGGCAAAAAGTACCTAATTTGCATGACTTGCCTTACTGGGAAATGTTGCAGGTTAACCAGATAAACGTTAGGCATTAAAAAAAGATACATATTCCGAAGGAATAGAAAGTTGTTTACTTTTTATGCCTAATCAAGGAAATACATGATGATATTAAATATTCTACATTTTTTATGTGCACCTAATTTTTTACTCTAAAAATTTATTTTAAAAATACTTTTCCTCCCAGTGAACATTTTTATATACAAAGGCCATCCTAAATATGAAAAAATTAAGTGAGAAAATTTGTATTTATGATCTTCACTATCATATGGCCTATATATTACCCTGTCAATGATTTTTTTTTACGCTGAAAAATCAGTATTCTAACACGAGTACCAAAGTAGAAGATCAAATTCCAAAAGGTTGAGTGATTTGATTCAAGTCTCTTGAATTTGACTTTATTTGCATTGCTCTCACCTAAACTCCTTTAAAATTATCCTCTGAGGGTAAATAGGGCACTGAAAATGAATTTTCTGAACTGTAGAATTAGTTATTTGGCATCACCTTGAATAAATTCAACCTTTTTCTTTGTAAATGGGAAACTGTAAAGCCTTTCAAGTACATTCCACTAACCTGAAATAAAATTCCTATGTTTTTGAAATTTCATTGGTTGAGATTGGGCTGCAATTTTGGAGACCAAGCTTAAATAAATTAGTTCAAATATTTTTCAGTCAAATGTGAAAATAATTTTTGTTTATATTAAAGCAGAATTGAAAGAGCAAAGAAAACTGGAAAGCTCATTTGTATTTACTATAAACGTACCAATTCACCAAAATCTCTATGGACATGTAACAGAAATAGATCAATGCCAATAGCAGATGGATTAAAGTTCTCTTCCTTCGAAAGAGAAATTAATTGCAGACTCTACTAATAAGGAATTGCTTACCTAAAGCAATCTACAAGCTAGAAGAAAATATAAGGTATTAGAATATGAAGGTTTTTCCCCCCCACAAACTAAACTAAACTGTGGTAAAAATAACCCACATTACAATTTGAGATAATTAGTAATTTGTTTGATATGCCACAAAAATGTTCATAGGGACTTTCTAACCAAGAAATAATACTTTTTTTTTTTTTGCAACAAATAGTTTCTCTTCCCCTGAAAGTTACTGGTGGTGGGAGGGCAAGAGAGAAAGAGATGATATAGCTTTTTAAAGCTGAGTTTTCATCTCTCCTATCTTTTGTTCATTTTGATTTCCAAAATTAAATATTTCTGCACTTTAATTCATTTAAATAACTATTTTCTGCTAGATTGCCAAACAGATTGTTTATATACAATATAAAGTTGACACTGAGGATGAAGAAACTTAAGGAATTTCACTTTTTATTTCTTATTTCTATTTAATCAATAAGATTTTTTTTTTTCGTGGCTGGCCAGTACAGGGATCTGAACCTTTGACCTTGGTGTTATCAGCACCACACTCTAACCAACTGAGCTAACCTGGCCAGCCCTAATCAATAAGATTTTAATAGCAAACTAGAACAAGGTTATACCTTCTTGACAACTAATGGTTGGAAAAAGTAGAATTTTTTTTTAAAAGATGACCGGTAAGGGGATCTTAACCCTTGACTTGGTGTTGTCAGCACCACGCTCTCCCAGTGAGCTAACTGGCCATCCATATATAGGATCTGAACCCGTGGCCTTGGTGTTATCAGCATCACACTCTCCCAAGCGAGCCACGGGCCGGCCCTGGAAAAAGTAGAATTTTTTTTTAAAAGATGACCGGTAAGGGGATCTTAACCCTTGACTTGGTGTTGTCAGCACCACGCTCTCCCAGTGAGCTAACTGGCCATCCATATATAGGATCTGAACCCATGGCCTTGGTGTTATCAGCATCACACTCTCCCAAGCGAGCCACGGGCCGGCCCTGGAAAAAGTAGAATTTGTATCAGATAACTCAGATCTCAGATTTCTAGATGTACTAGTTAATGTGCTATTCTGAAGCAAAATGTATATTAAGAAATTAAAGCATTAATTACTTCTGCAGTTATATGAAACCAAATTATTTTTGAGAAACTGTCTTATTTCAACACAGTAAAAAAATATCCCAGTAATTTTCTTTAATATTCTTCATAAAATGTGGTTGAGGCTTTTGTATATCTTAAATCTGGGATGAGAGCACAGATAATTTTACTAAAAAAGCGGTATTTTGGCAAACATTTTATTGATATAAATAAAAATACAGTTGGAATTTTAAAATGGCACTTAATCTGTTCTTCTCTCTATCAGAGTCTGCCAAATAAATTAGATTCCTTGGAAGAAATTCAAACTTGATACAATAGAGGCAAAATTAAGAGTAACCCTTACTTGTCAGATAAGTCATCTGGCGTAAACAAAAGGACCCACAACTATATTAAGTAGAAAGAATAGAGCTTCTCTATTTGCAATTTATTCAGCAAAAGTTAACAAAAGCATCTAATACTGAATTTAATTCAAACATCAAAGATCTGATCCATTTTAAAAGGCATTAGTTTCATCTTTTAATAAGCTGAACTGGCCTTAGAATGAAAGATCATAGATCTGTTCACATATTCGCACATTATTTACACAGAGATGCAAAATCCTGCTGAGTCATATCTGAGACTTAGCAAAGAATGAGAAAAAGGATTTTTTCAACTGAAAGGTACCAGAATGATTAACTGGTTTAACCTACTTATTTTGTAGATGTGAAATCTGAGATATAAGTGTCTTGGGCTGAGGCAAATTACTCAAACTCTTCCTTACATTGTAATTAAACTAACATCCAGACTCCCACCTTTTGTCTCCAATTTTTTCCTTTGAACCACATTTTGTACAGTAATAAGTTATCCTCTGCCAAGGTTAACGGTGGTTGCCTATGGGAAAGGAATGCGAATCATGAAAAATAAAACGTCAGGGGGAAGGAGGGACAAATTGTTAGGGATGTTACACTCATCAATAGAACCAAATTTCCAAGATTAGAAATACCAAGGCGAAACTGAATGTTAGTACAGAAATTTAAGCTACATCTTCAAGGAAATGGCAGGCCACTAAAAACTGGATTTCGGTTTTTGTGTCCTTTTAATGACTAGTTTTATATATTATATTTCTCTATATCTGGGAAAATATTCTAATATAATACATGTTCAGTCTGATGTAATTTAGGTTCTCAAGTTTAAAAAGGACTGGGTTCTTAAAAAAACTTATACTACAAAAATATGCATTTATATTTATTCCCAAACTATATAGTTCTAACCTCTGCAGTGATGTAAGGTCCAAATTGTCACTGTTGAACTGCCTTCTTGCAGGGTCTTAATTAGTTATTTCTATAGAGCAGATAAAATTTGCATAATTCTTAACAGTAAAATCTGTTCAGAAACTCACTTTGACAGTAATACTTTTTTTTTTTTGTCCTTTTTGAGACCGGCCGCACCACGCTCAGCCAGTGAGTGCTGTGAGCGCACCGGTCACCCCTATATAGGATCCGAACCCGCGGCAGGAGCGCTGCTGCGCTCCCAGCGCCACACTCTCACGAGTGCGCCACGGGCTTGGCCCACACAGTAATACTTTTATCTATCATTAGAGTTCAAAGAAACAGATCTCAGTAAGAAAAGTACAGGGGTGAGTGAAGGCATTTCTGTTTTTTAGAAAAATATACTGTATATGATACATCCTGGAAATTACACAGACCTTATGCTTTTATTTAATGGGAAGGCACAACTTTAACATAATTAAAAGCAAATGCATTTTAATTATTTATAATGTAATTATCAGTACCACCTCAAAAAAATATACATTTGCAAGTATATCATTGAAGATTCAGATTGTCAATTCAAAAGTCAATTTAAAAAGTCAAACTCTATTTGTAGAAAATTAATGAAACATTATTGCAAGTCCACATAATATTATTGTTGGACAATCTGTTCACCAGCAGTCACAGGGTTTTCTTCGTTTGTTGCATAGTCCAGTTGGTCCATCATCTAGACACAAATAAAAGATGTTAGGAAATGCATATTTTCAATTCATTCCCAATATTCACTAATTTTGCAAAAGATTCCTAGTTTTTACAAAATACACAGATAGCTCCATGGAACTGAGCTTTCCTTTTGGAGCCCTGTTTTAGTTCAACATCCATACTCTTATGGAGATGGTCAGGGTGACAGCGAACCTTCCAGGAAGCCTAATCATAACACTCAGGGCCAATATGATCATTGCTTTCTCTGGATCTTCCATTACCTGTTTCCCCAATATGAATGCTACCCTTCATGGCACTGGGAACTTCACCACAAAAGGAAGATATTCCTGACACTTATTCCAGGCAGTATCTACTTGTAGAAGTGGAAGTTCAGTTTCGGTGGAAACTAAAAATGGCCCCAAAAGTCACTGTAAGAATATATGCTGGTTCTGAGACAGTGTGACCTTATTGACACCTTGAACAGGGCTTAAGATAAGAATAATACATAAAATTTTAGAAACATTATATAATAAAAATTTCTACTAAAAAACAAACTTGAAGGCACTTAAATGATATCTCAAAACAAAATCAAGAATACATTTGCTATAGACTATTTTAGAGGAATCAGTAGTTAAACTTTCCTCAAATGGTCACTTCAGCTCTACCCCTATTCCCACTGAAATCTTTTTATATTTGTGAATGAAGAAGAAACTGCTTAAATGCTTTCAGTGTTTTTACCCTGTTTTTCAGATAAAATTACTTAAAAATAGCAAAAAGTACTTAATGTCTTTGTGAAGATTATCAGACTCTGACTAGTGATTAAATTTCAGTATTGTGATGTACTCTTTTTCTTCTCCTTTATCAAGAATTAGAAGAAGGAAAGACCAGCAAGGTACATGTACCTATTTCTGTAAACTGGCTCTAAAAGCTTTAGTGTTTTTTTTGGAAGAGGAAGAAGAGGCAGGGATCATTTCCAAATGGGATCTCTGGACTTGTACAACATAAGCTGAGGCTTTCAGCCATCTCAACTAAAGGAGACAGCTTATAAAACCCAAACCTGCTGATACTCTATGAGTCATCTCAAGTCCCCAAACAGTGAGTTTTGAAGTCCTCTACTTGCCAAAGATATCCCCTAGATTAAGGTAGTTACATGTTCATAGTATTTCTAGGGAGAAAAAAAAAAAAAGCCAGATCAAGACAAGTAACATTATGCACTTCAATACATGAACTTCAATACATGAAGTTGTTGAACGGTTAACTTTAGTCACAATTTAAATGAAGGAGGTGAAAGAAGAAGCATGTAAGATATTTATGCCCCTTTCCTTCTAAAAATTTAAAAGCTCTGATTGTAAGAGGCTGGAGCTGTGGGTAGAGAGAACTGAAGCATCCTCAGCAGAATGGATGGTGGGGAAATAATCTTTCTTCCCCAAGACTACTTACCCTGGTAACTGTAACCTAATGAAATAATAGCCTACATACCATAAATTATAACATGCCTCTTCTTTCCTAATCCCCAGGTAACTCATTGGCACTATAATCTAATCCCTAAATATAACAGTATGTTAATTTTTAAAAAACTTTCAAAGTCAACTTATTGAGAAGTAAGCATCTGTTCTCCTTATTCTTTACTGACTTTCAATAAAAACTATATAGAAACATAGGAGAAAACCTGAAGTTTTAAAAAACACAATAAATTAACATACGTAATGAATTCATAATATTTGTAAATAGGCAAGCTCAGTTTGGAAAAATATTCTTTGAAATTGGGTTAACTAATCTGGCATTTTCTAATAGCTCTGCTTATTTTACCAATCTGCAAGCACAGTCTAATAAAACACTCATTAAAGCAGGGTAACTGGAGAGTTGTTGATACTAAAGCAGAGTCATTTTAAGTATCTCTGTATTATGACTTAGTTACAGCTTGTGACTTCTAAAAATAATTGGAAGTACTAGTGACATTTCACAGAGACGAACTCATTGTTTACTGGTTATCAACCAACTGAAAATTTACTACCCACCCAGAGTAAAGCAGCCCATTGGAGACCGCTGCATAAATCTAAGTCTACTGATTTAGTATTAGAAACAAACAAACAAATCCTCTAAAATGATTTCTCTTCATTGTTCTATATGTTAAAGTAATTATGACTCTCCTTTATTTTTCTCTCTAGAAAAAAAATACCTTTATTTACTTTACACTACTTAGAATTAAGATTTTGAGTAAAATCAAAAGAGTGGAAGTAAGTATTGTAGCTCTTGAAGCATTCCAGAAAAAAAAAGTTCATAAGAAATATAGTATAACTAGCTTCAGGCTGTAGAAAAGAATTTATAATTAAGATTTCCAAATTAGTATTATTTTTGCAAAATCCTATGGAAACGTTACTTCTTTTGATTAGAGAAAGTCACAGAAAGGGCTAAAAGACTCTAAGTAAAATACTAAAGTATTTCTATGAAGTCTCCAAGTTATGAACAAATGAGGTCTAATTTGTCCATTGAAAACAGCAGAAAAAGTCAGTCAGGGCTACTCGTGACATTAAAAAAGTCTTCAGTGGAAAGTCCTGCTTTTTACTACCACTATTCTTGCACTCAACTCAAATACGGGGCATTTAGAATGAACCAAATGATTCATAGCATAAACAAATTTGCCATCACCTTAGATTCTAACTTTATTTTATACTACTTATTTACATTTGATTATTTCAAAACATTAGCAAAAACTTTTGGTACTTACAAAAATGATTGTATATAAAGCCTGTAGAGATAAAAGTCTAATTTAATGTTTTAAAAGTGCTTCACTTTTACAATAGCATATGGCAATTATGGTAACTTTATGAGGGCTGCTGAAACAGAATCAGGAAGCTTATACACACACACACAAAAGTGACTAAAGGTCAGTGGATTAAGGATCAAACATTGTAGTTGCATTGCATGAAGAATTTCAATAACATTAACTGAGAATGGACAGTGTATAAGCACTGGTATAAGCACTGTGGGTTCCTAACACCTAAGAGCTAAACTTAGCGAGGAAGGCATACATAAATACGTACACTGCAGGGTGGATGTTAATAAGTATTTAAATACAAAGTCTGAAAAAATACAGGGGAGGGTAAACCTAATTTCAATGGGAGGATTTAATTTCTTCTAATTTTTTGGAGATCTTCTTGGAGAAGGCAGATTTTGAGTGGGGAGTTAAATAAGGAATTTCTGAAAACAAACTGACAAAGCTTTGAAGATGATGGAGGTTGGGAGAGAAGAGGAAAAGGATTATTACACTGTTAGCCTAAGAAATTAACCAGGTCCAACCCTCAAACCTACCCCACAGGGGGCCAAATCAAGTCTCCCTCTATTTTACCAGGCTTGTTGAGGTTCCCCACTCTACTTTAGAAGTCTCTGCCTAGACTTTCCTGATTTCAACAACCACCTGTCTCACCAACCCTTGGGCTAACCTACCACTATGGATTACTTATTCTCCTACCTGCCTGTAATTCCAACCTCATTTTATGGATGAGGAAACAGTCTTCAGAGATTAAATAATTTGCCAGAACTGATGCCAAAGACTATAATATACTGTCTCCCAGAAATGACAACATTCAAATTAAACTAATTTTGACGTAAAAGTTTGAACATAGGTAATGAGAGATTTTCTTTTTCATATAAACAAGAAAGTAATTTTGCAAAGGCACTGCTTTATATAACTTCCAAAAATGCTAGTTTTCTGAAAAATTGACTCTCTCCTGAAAGCAATTTTTAATATTCTGCAACTAATTTACCTAAAATTCCAACAAATGTCCATTCTTCATATTTCAAAATTTACTGCACAATGGGAAAATGACCAAGTCTAAACAGAATTTTTTCTCTGCAGTTCTTGGATGATGGCTCAAGATTTGTTCTTTCACAAATAAGTTAAAAAAACCAGAATTAACAAAAATCCAAAGTTTTAACATACAAACCAGGAAAATGAAAAATCTAGTTAATGAACTGAAAAATAACCAAACCAACAAATAAATCAAAACAAAAAACCCCAACTCCTACAAATAATGATAGCAAATACATTTACAGTGCTTATGATGCCATAGGTACTATTCTAAGCAATATGCATATATTAACACATTTAATTGTCACAACAAGCTTCTGAAGTAGGTTATTATCCCATTTTACATTGGAGGAAACTGAGGCACCAAGAAGCTAAGTAACTTGACTAAGGTCACGTAGCTAATAATTAACAAGATCAGAATTCAAATTTAGGCAGTCTGGCACCAAACTCTATGCTCTTTACTACTATGTGTTATTTTGTATTCTGAATGTCTTATCTAATAAAATTATGATACCACCCTGCAAAAGTGAGAAGTTTATATCCAAAGTCGGCCTAAGTTTTCAGATACTTTTAATTTCAGTTTTTTTTTTTTTTTTTGGCAGCTTGGAATCCTTGACCTTGGTGTTATAAACACCATGCTCTAACCAACTGAGCTAATTGGCCAGCCTATTCTCAGATACTTTATTTATTTATTTAACTAAAACATAAGTGGTTATACATATTTGTGGGGTACAGAGTTGACTATCAATACTTGTATATAATATGTGATGATCAAATCAGGATAATTAGCATATCCATCATTACAAAAGGTAATCATTCTGTGTGTCTATTAACCAATTTCTTGCTAATTCCTTTTCACTTCCCCTTTCCCACCTTTCTAACACAGATCTGTTCTCTCTTTCTGTTTTTAGATACTTTAAAATAGATTTTCCTACAATCAATTGCCTTATTTAGCTAGTAGGTAATGTGGTGAAGTCCCTGAAGTTGCCCTCTGGGGCTAGTACTGCTTTGTGTCCAGCTGCAGTAATCAATCCCTTTATAGGTAGTTACTGTGAAGTAGAATCATATTTTTTTTCAAGATCATGATTTTTACCATGATGGCCAAAAGCAGTGCATTTGTTCATAGGGAATATAAATGTACCCCTTGGTTGAATTCCTTCCTTACCTATTACCCTCTTTGTCTCAATGAAGATCAAGGAGAGAGAAAGGAGGAAAGATGCTAGAATAATGAGAGAAACAAATGAGCTATAGAGTATTTCCAAAGAAATGCAATGTTAATGCATTTATGTATACAAGAACTCTAAATTTCAACTATTTCCAGCGTAGGTTAGCATAAAAAGGTCTGGAAGCTATATACAGACTGTTCAAAACAGCTACCTCTTAAGGACTGGGGTTGGGGAATAGAATGGTTAGAAAAGGGCCTTCCATTTTTACTTTGGACACTTTTATATTGCTTGTTTAAAAAATGCAAACATGTATTACTTTGTAATTAAAATCCAAAAAAGAAAAATTATTGAGGTTAAAACAGGGTTAGGGACTATGTAAAGATTTTAGTACAGTAACTGCCAATAGTAATATTAACCTATAAGTCATTAAAATAGAACAAAGAGGGTCAGAAGTATGGTAATGAACATCTTTTCACATCAATTTTACCCAAATTTTTAATCATTTTCTGAATAATCCCTTAAAGAGAAATTATTGGGTCAAAGTAAATGATAAAGTATGGTTGATATATATGATAGAGTATTATACAGCCATTAAAATGATTTTTATAAGGAATTTTAAGTGAAGTAACACAAAAATGCAATGAAAAAGCAAGATAGAGACCAATGTATAGTTATCACCCACCCACCTATCCATTTATCTACAGAAAACATAGAAGGAAATTAACTTAAACCTTAAATACCTCTAGGTGGTGGGATTATGGGTGAGCTTAATTTTCTTCTTGTATTTGTTCATATTTTCTAAATTTTCTATAATAAGCACATATTTTTATAATAAAATACTTTAAGAGCTGTTATAAAGGGTAGGAAAAAACTTTATAAGTAAAGATAAAATGCTGTTGATGAAAATAATGAGAGGGCTGGACAGTTAGCTCAGTTGGTTAAAGCAAGGTGTTAAAACACCAAGGTCAAGGGTTTGGATGCCCTTACTGGCTAGTCACAGAAAGAAAAAACAAAAAAGAAAGAAAGAAAATATTAAGAAGTATAAATAATTCTGTAAGATAACACCTGTGCTCTCAGTAACAGTCCCAAATTTAAACTGTAACCTAAACAAAGACTTATTAATGCCAACCCTCAACAAAATTTCCCCATGTGCTTGTCTTCCTCATCCTGATTTACCTCACAGTTAATCAGATAAGTGCCCCTAACAGTAGATACCTTTCTCACAGTTCTGTCCTGAGTCTTTTCTTCTCTCTGCATTCCCCCTTACTCACTTTGTATGTTAATGGCACTCCCAAATTTCTAGCCAAGTCTGTCTCCTGGTCACACGCATTTATTACACTGCCTATTATTTCTCTCTTCTTGGTGGTCCTATAGGTACTTTGAATGTACAACATTGAATTCATATCCAACATGTAACATGTCCAACAATGAATTCATCTTCTTGTTGCCCTTGCTTTATCTTGGTGAATAGTATTATCATCTACCCACTTAGTTTCCCAAGCCACAAACCCTGGACTCCACTTCCTTTTCCTCTCCCCACACTGAATCCATCACCAGTCCCCATTAATTATGCCTCTAAATTTTTCTTGACTTTGCTCACTTCTCTCCATCCTACTACCTTAATAATTAAAGCTAATATCACTTCTCATCACAACAGTCGCCCCTGGTTTTGCTCCACTTTCTAGATTTCTTAATATCCTTAAATGGTCTGCAGTGCTTTTAGGAAAGAGTCCAAACTCTTTAACGTGGCTTGTAAGACCCTATAGGCTCTTACCCTTGCACTTCTATCTCCAGCTTTCATTTCCTGCAGCTCCCCTACCCTTACTCAACATTATAGTCATTCCAAACTTTACTTGGTTCTTAAAATGTGTCATGCTTTCTTCCCTCTGGGTCTTTGAAGAGATAGTTTCTCCAAGGTGGAACACATGGCTCAATCTTAAAGTCTCAACATAAATTTAACATTCTTTAGGAAGTTTCCCCAAATCCCCCATGACCCTGTCTTAAAACCACAAGCACTGGATGTCCAATCTCCAGCTTTCATGGCACCTACTATAACCAAAATATTAATCCCACTTTATTGTTAGTGACTCTATCTGCATTCCCCCCAGTCTATAACTTTCAAGAGGCCATGAGAATAGGCCTATTTCTTTTTTTTTTTTTCGTTAAATTTTTATTTTGTCAATATACAATGTATATGATTATTATGGCCCATCACCAACACCTCCCTTCCTCCTCCCTCTCTCCCCTCCCCCCCAAGAATGTCCTTTCCGTTTGCTTGTTGTAACAACTTCAAAAAAGTATAGTTGTTATATCTTCTTCCCCCTCCACCGATTATTTTGTGTGTGTATGTGGGTGAATTAATTTGTTTATTTTTAGCTCCCACCAATGAGTGAGAACATGTGGTATTTCTTTTTCTCTGCCTGACTCGTTTCACTCAATATTATTCTCTCAAGGTCCATCCATGTTGTTGCAAATGGCAGTATTTCATTCGTTTTTATAGCTGAGTAGTATTCCATTGTGTAGATATACCACATTTTCCATATCCACTCATCCGATGATGGACATTTGGGCTGATTCCAGCTCTTGGCTATTGTGAAGAGTGCTGCAATGAACATTGGGAAACAAGTATACCTTCGACTTGATGATTTCCATTCCTTTGGATATATTCCCAGCAGTGAAATAGCTGGGTCATATGGTAGATCAATCTGCAACTGTTTGAGGAACCTCCAAACCATTTTCCATAGGGGTTGCACCATTATGCATTCCCACCAACAATGTAAGAGAGTTCCTTTTTCTCCGCAACCACACCAGCATTTATCTTTCAGCATCTTTTGGATTTTGGCCATCCTAACTGGGGTGAGATGGTATCTCAGTGTGGTTTTGATTTGCATTTCCCGGATGCTGAGTGATGTTGAGCATTTTTTCATATGACTGTTGGCCATTTGCATATCTTCTTTAGAGAAATGCTTACTTAGCTCTTTTGCCCATTTTTTAATTGGGTTGCTTGTTTTTTTCTTGTAAAGTTGTTTGAGTTCTTTATATATTCTGGATATTAGTCCTTTGTCAGACATGTATTTTGCAAATATTTTCTCCCACTCTGTTGGCTGTCTTTTAGCTCTGTTAATTGTTTCTTTTGCTGTGCAGAAACTTTTCAGTTTGATATAGTCCCATTTGTTTATTTTTCCTTTGGTTGCCCATGCTTTTGGGGTCATATTCATGAAGTCTGTGCCCAGCCCTATTTGCTGAAGGGTTTCTCCTATATTTTCTTTAATAAGTTTTATTGTTTCAGGGTGTATATTTAAATCCTTAATCCATTTTGAGTTGATTTTAGTAAATGGTGAGAGATGTGGGTCTAGTTTCAATCTCCTGCAAATGGATAACCAGTTATCCCAGCACCCTTTGCTGAAGAGGGAGTCCCGACCCCAGTGAATAGACTTAATGCCTTTGTCGAAGATCAAATGGCAGTAAGTGCGTGGGTTGATTTCAGGGTGCTCTATTCTATTCCATTGATCAGAGTCTCTGTTATTATACCAATACCATGCTGTTTTGGTTATTATAGCTTTGTAGTATAGTTTAAAGTCAGGTAGAGTAATACCTCCAGCTTTATTTTTTTTGCTCAGCGTTGCTTTGGCTATTCGTGGTCTTTTGTTATTCCAGATAAATGACTGTATAGTTCTTTCCATGTCAGAGAAAAATGTCATAGGAATTTTAATGGGGATTGCATTAAATTTGTAGATAACTTTGGGTAGTATAGTCATTTTCACTATATTGATTCTTCCAATCCAGGAGCATGGGATGTCTTTCCATCTTCTTGTATCCTCTCTAATTTCTCTCAGGAGTGGTTTATACTTCTTGTTATAGAGATTTTTCACATCCTTAGTTAGTTCAATTCCTAAGTATTTTATTTTTTTGGTGGCTATTGTGAATGGGCAGGCTTTCTTGATTTCTCTTTCTGCTTGTTCACTATTGGTGAAAAGAAATGCTACTGATTTTTGTGTGTTGATTTTGTATCCTGCTACTGTGCTGAACTCTTCGTGCCAGATGTTTTACTAAGCATTATATATAGAACCTAATCTTTTTCTTTCACATCTAATTTCCTTTTTAAACTTCCAAAAGCTTGTGATATAAATAGTGAGTATTAATTCTCCCTTTTTGATGGAAAAACTTGTCTTATTAATTAATGGCATTAGAACCCAGGACTCCTTATTTTTAGACCTTTGCCTTTTCCTCCAGACAATACAATTCAAGATAATAAAAAGAAAAATAAAAAATTTACCAATTGTGGAAGAAACATAGTATATAGAAGAACCAGACTGCACATCAAATCTTCTACAGTATGCAATCAGCAGACCTAAAAAAAAAACCCTCCACATTATTTTTAATTTTCTTAAACAACAGCAACATAAATTCAACTGTTAATTATGGTAGCAGTATATGTTGTATTATATTTAACTTTCATTTTTGTATTATGAAAACATTAAAGTACCTTGAATTCTGGGCAGAGTTTATATGCTAAATTTTTTAAACTTAATACCATATTTTAAATATTTCCTAAAGCCTTAAAACAGTTTTTAAAAACATAATTTTTATTAGCTGCTCAATATTCCATGTCACAGAGAAAATTTTTTAAATGTATCATTAAAAAATGTACAGTATTGAACAAATGAGATTACATCAAACTACAAAGATTCTACATAGCCAAGGAAACAATCAACAGACAAAGAGATAACCTACAGAATGAGAGAAAATATTTGCAAAATAATACTCGATAAGGGGTTAATATCCAAAACATATAAGAAATGCAAATAACTTAATAGTAAGAAAACAACCTGATTAAAAATTGGGTAAAGGATTTGAGTATACATTTCTCAAAAGAAGACATACAAATGGCCAACAGGTATATGAAAATATGCTCAAAATAACTAAGCAGAGAAATGTACATTAAAACCACAATGAGTATCACCTCAACCTCTTAGAATGGCTATTATCAAAAAGACAAAATATAACAAATGTTGGAGAGAATGTGGTAAAAAGGGAACCCATGCTCATTGTTTGTGGGAATGTAAATTAGTATAGCTATTTTGGAAGTATGGAGCTTCCTCAAAAAAAATAAATAAATAAAAATAGAACTACCATATGATCCAGCAATCCCACTACTGGGATTTTCCAAAGGAAAATAAAACCAGTACGTCAAAGAGTTACCTACACACCCATGCTCATCTCAGCATTATGTACAATAGCTAATATATAGATCAACCTAAGTGTCCATTAATGGATGAAAAAGTAAAGAAAATGTGGCATAGATACACAATAGGATACTATTCAACCCTAAAAGGGGGAAATTCTGTCATGTGTATCAAAATGGATGAACCTGGAGGACATTATGTTAAGTGAAATAAGCCAGACACAGAAAGACAAATACTGCATGATCTCACTTATATGTGGAATCTAAAAAAGTTGAACACATAGAAGTAGAGAGTAGAATGGTGGTTACCAAGGACTGGGGTGGAGGTGGAGGGTTAAGGAGATATTGGTCAAACAATACAAAATTTCAGTTAAATAGGAGAAATAAGTTCAAGAGATCTATTGTACAACATGGTGACTATAGTTAATAACAATTTATTATATTCTTGAAAATTGCTGTAGATTTTAAGTATTCTCACTACAAAAAAAATTCTGTTAACATATGTGCATATGTATATTAGCTCAATTTAGCCACTGCACAATGTACACAGTGAAGGTTAATTCTAGGTGTCAACTTGGTTAGATGAAGGAATGCTGAGAAACCTGTAAAGCAATCTTTTAAGGTGGGCCCGTGAGGGTGTTTCCAGCGGATATTAGTATGAGTGCAATTGGACTGGGTGGGAAAGACCCACCCTCAATGTGGGTGGGAACCATCCAATCCGCTGGGGGTCCTGAGAGAACAAAAGACAGGGGAAAGAGGCGAAGCTCTCTCTTGATCTGCTGGAGCTGGGATACACTCTTCTCTCCTGTCCATGGAAATCAGAGCTTGAGACTCTTCAGCTTTTCGGTTCCAGAACTTACACCAAGGACACCAGCAGCTTCCCTGGTTTTGAGGCCTTTGGACTTGGACTGAGCCACGCTACCAGCATCCAGTTTGCAGACGGCCTATCCTGGGACTTTTCTTCATAGTTGCGTGAACTACGAGACACTTCAGCTTTTGCATTCCAGGACTTACACCAAGGACACCATCAGCTTCCCTGGTTTGAGGCCTTTGGACTTGGACTGAGCCATGCTACCAACATCCAGTTTATAGACAGTCTATCGTGGGACTTTTCTTCCTAGTCACGTGAGCTAATTCTCCCAATAAATCCCTCCCATATAATTATAACATATCCTATTGATTCTGTCTCTCTGGAGAACCCTAATACATACACATATTTCAATACAAGTTGTACACAATAAATATGTACAATTTTTATCTGTAAATTTAAAGAAACAAATAAAATGCTTAAAAGATGAAAGGGCATCAAGGAAGGTAATTTCAAATTGTTATAAAAAAGTCTTCCTTCCTAGTGGGATAAAATGATTTGGAGTTTTAATACCAAGTTCAAATAACAATGAAATATAAGCTCTCATTTCTAAACATGCAAGTGTGCAGAAACAACTCGTTTAATACCTATTTCTTAAAAGAAATTTGTTGAACCTTTCCAAAGAAGAAATCTGATTGTATTTATATATTAAATAAATACTGTTACAAAACAGTATGAATGACATTTAACCACTTAAAAAATCATGAAATAATTTGACTATCTTTATTGGTTGTTTTAATTAGTTTTGGTCTCTACATAATCAATAAAATAGGTTCCTTGTTATTTTTACTACATTTGCTGTTTAATCACATTTCCATGTGTTTAAAAAAATGGTCCTTTTTTCCCAAATTAGAATTTAGCTCTTAGAATTAAATCATGTATTGTCAATGACTCTGTTCTTTGGGGAAATATTTCTGTTTGAGACCTCTGACATTTACTCAAGAATATAATATTTATATGTGATTTTTACCAGTTCTATGCCAAGTACTGTATATAAGATTTTATATAGCACTTGGGGAGGAACTGGTAAAATCAGAGATAAGTTTAAAGATATTCAAGGAACCCTAAGGTTACTTAATAGAATGCTTTCCCTACATTATCAATTATGTGAATGGGGATTAAATGAACTAAGAGAGTTGCTACACTGGACTTTGCCATGCCAACTCACAAGACAATATTCTTTCTCTCTATCTGGCTTTGCTATGTAAATAGAAGGGCTTTTTCAGAAGAGCCAGTACTCTTTATCCATTCACAGGCTGTTAGTACATAGCAAGACTGTAAATAAAGTGAAAAAACAAACTTTCAGCTGATAGAAAAGTATGATTATTTTAAAACTACATTATTACTGCGCTGGTATTAAGTTTATTCTACAGGCAGCCCAGCGAAATTAATAAGGCCAAAAGAACTGCAATACTGTCAGAGAAAACATGTGAGGAGGTGATTGATTCTACTATAAACTGTCTCTCTGTATTATGAAGCCCTACAAGCTGGTGTTCTATTGTTTCCCCTCTTGATCATGACCTTGCCTAGTATTCCTAAACATTTCCTAAAACATAACTATTATTTTAAAACAGAAGTAATAGAAACTATATTTAGCATTATTATCTTCAACTTTAAAAAAGGGTCACAATATTTACTCTCTTGGGGAAGAAGTTAAACTGATCTTAATTTTCTCTAAGATACTTTTTGAGCTATGAGAGATGTTACTTTAGTTGTTACCATTTGGGCTTTATCTTCTACCTCTCAAAAAGCTTTTTTTCTATCTTTGTCACTGATATCAGCTCTAGCAACAGTTAGAAATACTTAATACAGAGTAGGTAACTTTTAACATATACTATACATATAAAGATTTTAAACCATCAGTACCTGTATATTTTTACTGAAATTGTTACAATTATTTACCTGGTACAATAATGTCTCCAAAACCCAATATTGAAACAGGCACGAGGCATACACTCATTACTGAGAAATAGATCAGCTTCGGTACCCTGATGACTACTGGTAACTGTAAAAAAAAAAAAAGCCATTAATAAACTTTAAGCAATCTTTAACCATATCTTTTAGAAAAGGAAGAATTGACATTAGAATAATTGTTTTAACATTTTAAAATTGACATTTTAAAAGAACATGAAACCACAGGACATAAACTAAGCATATGTATATAATCCAAATTTATAGAAAGCTTGAAAGAAATAGATACGTAGTTTTGGAAAAATGAAACCCAACACACATGTAGCATTAACAGGATTAATTCTCTATTCCCACATCTAACCTTTTTTTAAAAAAATTTTTTCCATTTTACCAATAATAGGACTCAGGCCTTGAAACAGATTTTTTTTTGGCAATCTGGATTTTTTTCCCCAAAGAAGAGTCTTGTCTCAGAGGGTATGATTTAAAGTCCAATGAACACATCTGAAATACAATCCTTACTTTCTCATGGGGAGCTGAGGGTTGAGCAGTGGCTTCCACCAAGTTTCCATCATTCTAGGATGAAACCCAAGTCAATAGGTACTTAATAATTTAGAATAACTAAGAAAAGGGCTATATTTTGTGAGAAATAAGTTTTACAACACCTTAACATGCACTATATGACCAATGAATTACACAGGAAGGCAAAATTATTAACTGGATACAGGTACATACACTGGGCAGCCATTTCTATTTAATTGCCATCCCTACCTTTTCATTATTTCCAAAAGGTCCAGCTGCAAGTTCAACCATGATACTCTCACCATTCTAAAATTGAGAAGGAAGATAAAAGAAGTTGTCCAATCATTTTAAGAGAACAACCTGCCACTATTCAAGAATGATTAGTGAAGCCCCATGAAAAATGATTACTCAAGCCCCATGGCATATGGCCTACTGGAGACTGATTAAAAAATGGGCTATAGATTGCTTTTTTCTTAAAACAGTCTCTGTAGATAAGAGAAATTGAAGTCATCTAAAACAAAACACATCTAGCATACTGCTAGACTTTATCAGAGCTCAACAATGACCAGAAACTGACAAATAAACCATGCATAGATTATTACAGTGAACTTTGAGCTCTAATTTCTGGGGACATATTAATAGTTAACATTGAAATGTGTTATAAATTTTAAGTACTTTTAGTTATATTAAGTCATATACTATGCTTCTTTATCATTTTCAGCAATATCAGAGAAAAAGGACATACTAAAATCTTTTATATTTAGCTTTGTGACAAATATTGGAACTTTATTTGAATAAATATACATTCAACCTTCTGGCTACTCACCACAACAACAAAACAATGTAGCCAAACTTGAAAAGAACCAACCCTACAGAACTTGAGAAGCTTCTCTAGCCTGACTCCTGTCCAATTTCAGGCCTGCCTGATTTCTATGTTCCAATTAAAACACTAAACTTAGCTGAGTTTCCCTCCCCTATGTCTGGCTAAAGTCTCTTTATGTGAACTGTGTGAAGATTTCATTAAAAAGATTTTTCCTGATAGCCAAGTCTGTTGTGAAGGGGGGAAATGTTTTGAAGCATCAAGCTAAGATTGCATGAAGCACCCATTTTATGTTTCACATGAGGATAAATCTATCAGCAAAACTAGTAGAGGGAAGATAAATAAATGCTGAATTTTAGGAAAATCTGAAGAACTTTAATACTTTCCATGTGGGTGGGGTGCATAGGAGAAATAACTTCAGTGTTTTTAAACGGACCTCACTGATACCTGAGCTTAGTAAACAGAAGGATAAAATCCCTAGCTACAGAAATCTTTTCCTCATGTTAAGCTTCAGGTTACAGAAGGGTTAAGTCACAAGAGTTTAGAAAAATAAACCAATACTAAATACAGTTCCTTAAAGCAAATTCCCGGGTTGTGATCAAATTTCCAGATAAAGAGTTTATTTTGGTTCATTTTTAAATTGTTATTTAAAACATTTAACTAAAGATCATCATTGACATCCTTCCATATATTCAAAGATATCTGAGTAACTAGTATTTGCAAGATACTATACTGAGTATGGTGATGAATGGAAAAAAAAGTGAAGACAGACTCATTGTTATATTCCTATGGCCACCTGCCCAGCCAACTCATTGGAAGTCTACCTTGGTCAAGAACATTTTTAGAATATCTAATATTTACTCCTTCAAATTTACAGTGAAAACCATAAAATACAGCAATTAAATATCTGATTTTCATTTTGAGTTACTTACTAAAGTGGCCTTAGTAAAAACAAACAAATCAGACTGAAAAGGTGTTAAAGTAAATCTACAATAGTGAACCCCAAAGATCACTTCAACTTTTTCCACCTTATCAGATTGCTAGAAATCCCATTCCCAGTCAATACAAAATGAGATGGAAAACAGATGAAAAAATTTCCTAAGCACAGAAGAAAGAAGGCTAAGTGACACCTTTATGATTATCCTATACCTTTAAAATTCTAAAACATTTTATGTGTAGGGAATGGAAATTGTTTGCTGGCAGACATGTTTGGCATACATAAAATGATACTAGTGTTATAATGAAGAAATTATTTTAAAAAGAGTTTTGTTACAATTATAGCTATATCCACAATATATGTGTCATGTGCTATCCACAATGTACTGATGTATGGGAGTGGTTTTGTAGAGAATGTTTCACGTTTGTTATGAGATCTCTGATGGAGTATCCTATAAAAACATCTTTTTGAACCATGTAAATTGACACAAGCTAGGACAGCTTTACATAGAACTAAAAAAATTCTATAGTAAATTAACAATTTTAGTTATAACTCATGATACTAGTTCCATGCTTTTTTTTAATGTTACTATTGCTCGATGGAGTCAATGAGTCAAATGGCTAATTATGAAGGTTTGGAAAGGTGCTAGTAAAATGGTCTGGGTAGCTGTAATTTGGGACAGTTAACTACTGTATATTGGTTATCTATTGCAATTTTAGTTCCTCAACAGAGTACGTGTTTGTCTTATGCCATTATAGCAAATACCAGAGGGGTAGATTTTTTTTTTTTCCTTTTTTTGTCTTTTTTCGTGACTGGTAACAGGATCGCAACCCTCAGTGTCGCGCCCGTACCACGACCGGCAACGGGATTGCAACCCTCGGTGTCACGCCCACACCGCGCTCAACCAGTGAGCGGACCAGTCTCTATATGGGATCCGAACCCTCAGCAGGAGTGCCACCACGCTCCCAAGCGCCGCACTCTACCGAGTGCGCCACCGGGCTGGCCCAGAGGGGTAGATTTTTACACTGATTTCATAGATGGTAGGATCTGAAGATACAGAACAAGTAGGAAGAAAAATAGTGAATATCAAATATTAAATATGTATTTAATATTTGATATTCACTATTTTTCCCATTTGTGCAAGTGACAGAAGATAAAGGGATGATATAAAGTTACAAAGCAAGACAAAATAAAATGGGGAAGGTGGGAGAATTAAGCAATAATTAATAACCTCTTAGTAAGACAGGAAAAGGGTCAAGGTAGAAAAACTGGGCAAATAATGAAGAACTACCATTCTCATCCAAAACCTCCCCTCATTTTATTGAGGAGCTAGTGGCAATCTGGGATTATACAAGGGGCTTTCAAAAAGTTCATGGAAATATTTCTATTATCTTTTATTTCTGTTTTTCCACAAACTTTTTGAAGTATCTTCATATAACCTAGGAGCTGCCAGTCACTATGATTCTAACCTCACAGAGGGACTGGCCAGTTAGCTCAGTCGGTTACAAAGTGGTACTAATAACACCTCATGGAGAAAGCCATTTAGAGAGACTGAACAAATGGACAGAAGCGAAAAGGGAGAGTATATGGTCCTGGATCTAGTTTCTCCTGAGGCCAGCCCCACCCTGCCCTCTTAAAGCCTGGAAACATGGGACCTTCTTGATATAGAAGACTTAGTTTAGGTTCTGTAAACTGCAACCAAAGAATTCTACTGATGGGGGTGGGAGGATGGAAAGCTAGTAATACTCCTTCACATAATAGATTAGAAAACTAAAGCAGGAAGGGCTAAGTAACTTGCCCAGGGTTGCAAGGTTACAGAGCTGCACTATAGGCCTTCAGACTTCCAGTGTGCTGCTCTTTCTTAGTCTCAAACTAGGGCTTCAGAAACGAAAGTAGCAATGACACCTTTTTTTGCTGCCTCTATTGTCTATAGTAAACATTTATTATCTTATGAAAAAGTTACTTTAAAAAGGGAAGCAAGATTACATTCTCATATTTATATCAGCAAGGAGACTTTTAAAGGCTTGAAAATACCCTCTATTAAAAGGCCAATTTCAATGATTATTCTCTTAAGAGAATTAGAACTCATTAAGTGGTAAACATTTGCAAAATCAACAATCTAAGAGCAGATTTAAGATTCTCATCGTTTAGCATGTTTCTTCATGTATTTCAAAAATACAGTCATACCTTTGTGATGAATGGTGTTATGAAAACAAAAAATACATCATAGAGGAGCAGAAGGCCTAGAAGTATCACACATGACTGTTGAAGAAAGAAATAAATTTAAAGGTCAAATTTCTCCCTTAAAATTAAGAGATTAAATTATTTTACAAATACAAATTAACATGTGAACATACATTTGAATACTACTTTTTTAAAAGTCATTTTATGGTTATTACTATGTGTAGTTTTATTCGACAAACATTAAAACCCTTATCTTCTTTATCCCATTTGTTAAAAAAAAAAAAATCACTGAACTAAAGAAAAGTTCTTCCCTAATATTTAGTCCGTAAGGGTTTTCATGAATTTGACATATTACATGAATGATTAAAAATATGTTAACTATCAAATCAGTGCTTGCCTAGGCCTAGGGGGAATTAGGACTGATTGCAAAAGGGCATAATAAGACTTTTTTTTTTTTTTTTTAAAGATGACCAGTAAGGGGATCTTAACCCTTGGCTTGGTGTTGTCAGCAATACGCTCAGCCAGTTCACTCACTGGCCATCCCTATATAGGATCCGAACCCGTGGCCTTGGTGTTATCAGCACCACACTCTCCCGAGTGAGCCACGGGCCAGCCCCCATAATAAGACTTTTTGAAGAGATGAGAAATGTTCTATAATTCCACTGGATGGTGGTTACAAAGTTATACTATTGTAAAATTTCAACAAACAGTACTTAAAATGGTTACATTTTGTTGTATATAAATTATACCTTAATAGGATTGCTTTAAAAATAAAAAACGATCTGAGCTAGCACAGTATACTTTACCTTGAAGTTCGGTAACTTCAGTGTTTTAATTAAATTCAGACAGAAAGCAATCCCCAAGATATCCTGTAATATCCAAGCCCACCTAAAATCAAAAGATATTACTCTACTGTTTTACCCAGTTATTTTCAGATAAAACTTTTCAAAAGAAATAGATTACTAAAGTAATGCCATTCAATTGCTATGATTTGACTATTTAGTTATTAAACAACAAGTTTAACAATAATAAAGCTTCCTTTATTCTCCATATTTAGTAATTTACTGTCCTAGCAGAATAATGAATACCATTACACAAGAAAAAGCTGAAAGGCTACCTCAGAAGAATGTATATCAGACATAAGTGCATATTAATCTTTAGTCTTTGAATTTATACATATGTCTGTTTCTAGAAAGGAAGCTGATAACAAAGGATATTGGTGTTAATATACATCCAGGCAGCTAGAAAACAATGGAAATGAGAGCTATGCTACCTACTTGATCAGAAACTGACATGCATAATTATATGGTATCTTAAGTTGGCTAAAGTTGTATAAACTATGTTTCCCAAATTTTAGCCCATTAAATACTTTTAAGTCTTCAATAATTTTATTAATAAACCATTAAATAAACTTAAGTATATATTTTTTCTGGTTATTCTTTCTGCAAACGGTCAGATACCTGTATATTTTCTTACATCTTTCTTACATGAAAGGTAGCATACTCTACATATTTTTTCGCACTTTGCTTTTTTCATTTAAAAATATATCCTGAAAATCACTACATATCAATTCATATAGATCTTCATTCTTTAGAGTTGAACTATACTCCACTGTGTGGCTATACCATAATTAAGGATATTTTTTAAGTCTATTTCAGCCTAGGTGTTTAAATCATAATTCATATTTCTTTCTCTACATGAGCTTAACTCCATTAACATAACACTTGCTTATTTAAAAAGTAGCTTGTTTCAATTAGGGTGTTCTGGAATAAAAGCAAAAAAAATTCCATAATAATTATAATGAATTAGTATCAGGGCAACATATAAAATAATCCACCCTTGGTCTAAAAGCAAGTACGCTGAATATTCATACCTATCTTCATTTCGAAACACGGCCCAAACAACAGCTATTGCTATGCATAGTCCAGAGAGAAAAATAAGTCTCACTTCAATGCTTTTGCCACGACACACAATCCTAAAAATCAGATGGAAATAGTTTAGTTTATGCTGCAGATTAAATACAATGTTCATTTGATCAAAAAGGCAAACATTAACCAGTCACAAGAAGTGACTGAAATACCAATTTAAAAGTCTTGATTTTATTCTTCCTCAAAAGTTTTTTAAAAAAGGAAAAAAATCTTGACTTTAAGTAAAACAAATGAGACATAAAATGTTTACCAGTTCAACAGAACTTTCTATGATGATGGAAATGCCCTCTGTGCTGTGCAATACAGTAGCCACTAGCCACATGTGGCTATTGAGCACTTGAAATGTGGCTAATGAAAATGAAAAAATGAATTTTAAATTTAATTTAATTAAGTTAAATTTATACAGCCATAGGTCCAATATTGGACTGCACAGATTTAAAATAACACTCCTGCTTTTCTTCACATTGTTTTAAATTACAAATAACAACAATATAAGATTCCCCATAAGAGATACATACGTGCATTTTCCACATGGTATCTTATGAATTAGTGCAGCAAGACAGTTGTACAGACTCATTGCTGATGCTATGCAGAAAATTGCTATCATAACATAAACTAGAAAAAAACAAGACACTAAATTATACGAGAACAGAAGGAAATGTGATAAGAAAACATTTATACAAGCAACATTAATTCTTTAGCTTTCTTATTGTATCATGGTATTTTCAATGCAGTGACTATACTACTATCGAATTATACTATTATTATCTGAATTACTATTATCTGAATTATCTAAGCTGAAAATATTTAGATATTGAGTGTGAAGAGTGGGTATTTTATGTGTTGTTTTAGTTCCATTATACATTGGTAGGATTGCTTAAGGTGCTGAAGCTGGCTCTATATTTTACATCATTTAATGATTCAAATTGACATGTTTGATAAAAATTTCTATGAAGTGAGTTATACACATTTATGAATGTTTAATTTAAATATAAGAAGTGGAAGAATTACTAAACCACTGTGAAATACTTTTAAAAATGCAACTTAGGAAACAGAACTAATACCTACCTTAGATATTAACTATGCTATCTGTATTTTCCTATGAGGAATTTATCTATAATAACATGAACTGTGGTAAAACCAAATCATTTAAACAAACCTCTGCGTTATGATATGATACTAAGGTAGTTAAAATTGATAAGCGGTTTGCTATATTATCCATACTTATTTGAGAATTATTTAAAATTAAAAACATTTGACCTCTGGGTCTGGCCAGTTAGTTCAGTTGGTTAGAGCATGGTGCTGTTAACACCAGGGTTGGATCCTTGTACCGGCCAGCTGCCATTATGATATGATACTAAGGTAGTTAAAATTGACAAGTGGTTTGCTATATTATCCATACTTATTTGAGAATTATTTAAAATTAAAAACATTTGACCTCTGGGTCTGGCCAGTTAGCTCAGTTGGTTAGAGCATGGTGCTGTTAACACCAGGGTTGGATCCTTGTACCGGCCAGCTGCCAAAAAAAAAAAAAAGTTAAAAATATTTGATCTCTTTGTTGTTACTCTTTGCGGAATTGTTGAAAAGGGGGAAGAGGGGGTGGAAATCATTGGACGTAAAATAAAAATATTCCCTTTCTGAACTGTCTCAAAATTTCACAATAGAAATACAAATTGTACCTGAATTTTTCAAATTCCATGTAATTTCAGAAAACTATAACTTTGTTCTGAAGGTAAGAAAGAGTAATCCAGAGAGTAAATTAGGGATAGCCGCTCTCTAATGAGTGATCTTGGACAAGTTACATTTTTAGTCTCTTGATTCTCATGTCTAAGATGTAAAATGTACTAATATCTACCTTGGGGTTACTGTGAGGATTAGATGAATATATATAGCACATAATGAACTTTACATATGTTACTTGTTACTTTTAGTATTGGTTATGTATGGTAATGTGAGTAGTAAGATAGATAGTCAAAGACTGCCAAATTGATTTTGGTAAGTCATCTACCAAAGTTGTCCAACCCAAGTTTTAAAACACTAGTGGAAATGATTCTTTTTGAAGCCCTAATAGAGCTTTAGGCATTTCATTCAGTGTCATACTGTATCAAAGAAAATGCACAGGTATGGGAAAGAATTTGATTAATATAACTCATCTTTAGTTATTTTCTTAAGCATGTCTTAATCATAAAATGGCAAGATGAACCTTAGCGATTTAGTATAATCCCATTAATATAGTAAGAAACGGCAGCAATTTTAGCCATTCGGAACCATTCTGAGGTAAATGAAATCCTGCACTATCACACAAGGCATTGCCAGAGTCATAATAAAATCCCTTGTCCTGGGATAACCATGAGGTTGAGTGATCTTCTTAAGTCAAAAATTACATTTAAAAACAGGGTCAACTTTTTCAATAGCACTGAATTTAAGGAAATTTCTCACCCAAAATTAAAATATGCATTAGGGTAGAATAGAGAATGACTATCAACTGAGGGTCAGACACAAATAAAGCAATTGAAGGCTGAGAATTAAATTAGTAAAATTAGCTGCTCAATGACAATATAATACAAATATCATCCTGGTATCCCCTCTCTCAGCAACAGATTGAAATGACTGATTTTTTTTAACATAATGATTTTTTAAAAATGGAAATATATGTCATAGTCTAGTTTTTAAATTGTTGCCATAGGACAGGAGAAATTGAACAATAATCTGAAACTAATCCTAGGGCCTCGGTTTTCTAGTCCAGAAAATTACGCTAATGTTCTCCAAATAAGCATTTTAGCTTTTAATGGATTTTAGAGTTTTTCTAGTTCTCATTAGACACATTCCCTTTTTCCCTGGTCTCCCTCCTCTTTGTGTTGTATACTGGCCAGGGACGACTAATTTCCATCCTGTCAGACCATTAATAAGATTGTCCAGGGGATAGGCAAGCCATTATAGTTCCTACCCTATCTTTTTAAAGGAAAAAAATACCAGTTACTCTCTAGACCGCAGGTATCTTCTGATATACTATGATCCTAACTGCTTGTACAAGTAAAACAAAATTCCATCTATATAACATCTTGATTTGCAAATTGACAAAAGGATAAGCTATACTTTGGGGGTAAGGAGAGACAATAAATCAGTAATTTGAATAATCTACTTCATGCAACTAAATATAACCACCAAGAATTTCTTGGTCCACTGCTTAGATACTGGGCTATCATTCTTTACCTGCAGAGGGAAACTTAGGGACCATAGCAATTCTTTCAAGTCATCCATGAAGAAGAGTTCTTATCTCAAGACACAGTATATTTTTCATCCAAATATCTTTTATCTTGGAGTAATAGAGAACTAACAACTCAATAGAGACCTAATAATATTAGCCACACTATTCACTTAATTTTTGAGGTAGAATGCTTTAAAGGAAAAGATAAATCTAGCAAAGTAAATGAAAAGAATGCATGCTAAAGTAGCAAACATAAAACATGACTTCTTACCCAACCATTTGTAGAAGAAATAAAGTAAGACCATCATAACACAGCAGATGACCACAAATATCACAACTGTAAGAGGACTAAAAGTTAAATATTCTTCCTTCTTTTTCCTCATTTCTCTATCTTCAGCATTTGTCACTGCCTTCAAGTTTTCCCTGTATAAATGTACACAGGAACTTCAGCAAATCTCAACCAAGTACAGTTATTTTTAAAATCTATCTCTAACACCAATTTAAATTTGTTTCTGATTACAAAAGTAATATACTTTTAAAAAACTGCGCACCAAAAACATATTTAATTTAGAAAGTAAAACCCCCTTGTAATTCTACCCTCCAGAGATGTTCTGAAGTGTTTTGAAATAGCTTTTTTTTTCTGGAGACAAAATGGTTGAAACAGATGACATTTATCACATAAACAAATTAATGCTTGTGGATGTTTATATTATCTAATTTGGAAACTTTATATTTACATAATAAATTTCAAATTATGACCATGTTTCTTACACATTTACTATTATCAACTTATAGATAGTAAAGTACTTCTAAAACTTGCTTCTCTTAAATGTAAACACTTAATTCTCTAATCAATCAACTCAGGATTTACTATATCCCTATTTTGTGCTCATTGATGTATTATAAAGGATTCAAAAGCTGTTCAAGACATAGCTTTGTCATACCCTTATTTAAGATAGCAAAATATTGTCTCTAATTCTCCCAACATCCCTTGCTAGGTCACACAGCTAATGAAAGGCAGAGACAGAAATCAAAGAGGAAAAGAGCCCCAGGAATCATTTTTTGAGCAGTCTCTGTTCTGCTAACCTTACTATATGTCTGTATGTCCTCCCAGTTATGTGAAACCTACTACATAGTTTTCCAGCTGCAGTACCTTCAACTCTGGTCTACTAAACTTTTCTCCCTACTGCATGTACATATACTGACCCTGCTCATCAGGTCTGGGCTCAATTCAAACTTCAGGTTAAAAAAAAGTTTTTCTTATCAAATGGCACATTTGCCAACCGTTTATTTACCAACACACCCCTTTCTTATTAGAATTACTGATGGGATGTCCACCATATTAAGCATCTGTGCTTTTAGGTAAGTTGCCTGGGAAAAGAGTAGGGAGAGAGTTGGTGGAGAGACACACCAGCACCTCCCCTGAAATTCTAGAGCTGGATGACGGGGTATTAACAAAAGTTTTGATAAATGTGGTACCTGAGTGGGAAAAGGTGCTAACCTTTGCTATGTATCATTGCAAACAGATACATTTAAAGACATTTTTATCATAGTACACATACAAGCCATAATAATTAAAGATTTATATACTCATATTCAATGTACTAAAAAGCACAAGGCAACTTCTTAAAGGGAAAGCATACACTAGATTTACATCACATTAAAGTATTATAATTTGTCTTTTAAAAAAAATGTACTGTCAAATCAGCTTGAGGGCCATATGCAACAGGAAGCTAAGCTTTCTTCTATGCCAACTTGAGGTTATAAAGCTTGAAATCTAGTGATGTCATTATAATAAGATCTTAACTCTCCTGAAAAGTCTTTCTATGGAACCAAGGCATCCTTCCTTCTGCATAAGGTACATCTTTCATTTGGCAAGGTAATTTTGGGTTGTGAGGTACTGTTCTGGCAAATGGTCCCTTCTTTCAGCCTTATTCTCTTTCTATCCAATTGTCTTTACTAGCTAAATGATAGTCCTTGTGTTTTTAACAATTCTTTTTACAGAACGTTTTCCTCTTTATCACTGATCCATATTCTCTTTCTTCATATGGTCACCACTCCCCTCATCCCCTCTGAACACTTACTTCTTGCTGTATTTACTTTGCTCTTACAATCAGCCCCGTCAATTTTTAAATCCATAATCCTACAGGTATGGGACATCTTCTCTCCCAATCTGGGTATTGAAGGCAACAAACTATTTGATTCTACCCCACTATCATGTTTTATGAATTAAAAAGTTAATATGTACTCCTCTTCAATTTCCAATTTTCTTGAAGAGGAGCCTGTTCTGACATGTATATAAAGAATTGTGCTTTGCTAACTCAAAGTATGGTTAGTGAGCCAGCAAAATCACTTGGGAGCTTGTAAAACATGGAGACTTTTTGCCTCTGTCCCTAAACTACTAAATCTGAATTTGTATTTTAACAAGATTTCCATACAGTATGTATGCACATTATAGTTTGAGAAAAACTACTCTATAAAAGAAAAAATTTACATAGTAATAGAAGTACAGTGACAATCTATATTACTATAAATGGAAAAACATTTTCAATAAATCAGTAGCTTTTGGAAAATTATTTAGAAGTTTCACCAATTAATATAGAAAATGATCTTAGAGATCCTGGAGATCTTACGTACTGTGCTTTATAAAGACTAATAATGAATTAAAAAAACCACATTTACTCACATGAATAATGTGACTGATACATGTTGAAATATGCTTTCCAAAAACATAAAATGTTTAATGCTCAACATACCAGGAGTCTATACTTGTTAAACTCTAAGATTTCCCTGTTGATGTATTTAGGAAATTACAAATAATCTTAGCTTCATTTAGTTAAAAATAAGCCTTTTTTAAAGAAACCTATAGATCAATTCACAAGGCAAATAAGTTGTCTTTGAAACGCATATATGAAATAATATGCTCTAAGCACATTTTTTCATTCAAAGTTATAAATATGAGGTTACCATTCAGCACTATATTTCCTATTTTAATCAAGAGACAAACATATAAAACTGTAGGGAGATTATGATTAGATTACTATTAAATAAAAAAATCCAAATTTTATACACGTTTTGAATTTCTACATTTAAATTAAAATACGGACATGCCTAATATCCTTAGAATTCTTAAAGCATTAAAGAGAATGAGGAGGCTACACAGTAATGAACCAACCCAGGAGGAACTGAAAAACTCCTACCTTCCCTAGTTTGTTTTTCATTTTGAATTTCTACATTTAAATTAAAATACGGACATGCCTAATATCCTTAGAATTCTTAAAGCATTAAAGAGAATGAGGAGGCTAACACAGTAATGAACCAACCCAGGAGGAACTGAAAAACTCCTACCTTCCCTAGTTTGTTTTTCCAATCTAAATAAATAGGCATGTTAGGATATTAAGTATTTTCATCTTTCCTGGGAGAGAAAATTAAACATTTTAATTTGAAAGAGACTTTGATGTGACTTCAATGTTTCCCTGCCAGAAGAAGAGTTAGAGGAACCTATGATTCCCTTCTACTCAGTGAAAAGTTAAATGACTTATATAAGGACAAACCTGAAATCTGGTCTTATTGGTCTTATTAGCACTATATTCTGAGGTCAGGTGAAATTTTAAAATGTTGTTATACAATTAATATGATTACAAGGCAATAATTTTTTTTATCATTTATCACAAAAACACTTAAGTTTAATTAAACTTACAATTCAATTAGTCCACTCCAGTATCCTCCTAATGCCACAGTGAACACAGCAATTACAAAAATAACCACCATAGTATAGTCAAAGCTAGGCCATGATGGGGAATACATTTTCACAGTAATGTTAATTCCAAGAGTCTGAAAGACAAAATAACAGTTAAATAGAGGAATTAGTTTTCTCTTTACTATAGAGCATGGCAGCAATATTCCACATTTCACTCTGGAATGAATACTACAGAACAGACAGTCAAGACTGGAACTATTGTTTGACATGATATATTCTGCAGTCAAAAGTATGCTTTGGTTTATAAATTCTTAAAAGTGCAGTGTCCCACACAATCACATTTTGTTCAGGAGTTTAAAATTAAGATAAATGACATGATACAACAGGTTTTAAAAGAACTCAAAACAACAGAATTTAAAAGAACTCTAAAGTCCAGGCTTTGAGGCAATTTCTGACAAATAAGAGGTATTTCCCAAATAAAGATGTGACAGGCCTCATAGCTGCTTGTTAGCAAATGGAACATAATCAAAATTAAATACCAATGATCAAAAGTAAAGAGTTGTGGGCCGACCCCATAGCTCACATGGGAGAGTGCGGCGCTGGGAGCGCCGAGGCCATGGATTCGGATCCTATATAGGAATGGCCAGTGCACTCACTGGCTGAGCACGGTGCGGGCGAAACCAAGCCAAGGGTTACGATCCCCTTCCCGGTCACAAAAACAAAACAAAACAAAACACAACAAACAAACAAACAAACAAAAAAGTAAAGAGTTGTATTACTTATAAATTTCATCTAATATATAATCACTAATTTACCTGCTTCATATCTTTAAAGTCTCTGTGGCTTATAAATGCAATCAATATCTTCACATCATAAAATTCAGATCTGTTCCCTGTGGGAGGAAACTAGAAGGAAAAAAACATATTATGAAAACTTATTAACTACTAATATATTTACAGAATAAAATATAAATTATTCCATTAAATATAAATATCACTCCAAGTCACACACAAAGAAGTTAATTCAGTTCCTGTTAAATTTGATGTCATGAGCTCAAAAGAAGTTCATGGGTTCATAACTTACCAGGATGCTGTTATTGGCAACCAACAATGCTTCAGCACCTCCTGTCTGTGCAATTTTGGCTTTTTCAAGAAAATGGCAGGTTCCCCACTGAACCACAACTGCTTTGTTCTTTATGCCAGCAGGAGGAATATCAGAAAGGTTGCATAATGGTGTGGTAGTCAGATTCATCAAACTAATAGAAGTCTGAAAATAAGAAATGTCTTTAACATGATAAATGTCATATTTTACCCTAAATGCATTCAGTGATAAGGTACCAATATTGGTTTAATACAACATTCTTTTAAATTAGAAATATTTTATCACAAACAACCAGGCTTAGGGGTAAATATTTTAAAATTCCCTAACTTGTTTTTCCCACAGACAGAAAAATCCTTGAGCAAAATCAAAAAAATATTATTTATTAATCACTACATATGACAACTAGTTCATACACTAAAACATAATTATCAGTCATTCCCATTTTTTCAATGTTTTTATGTTCATGAATAAATAGTAACTGTGATTTACTTACTGCATTTTCTAGGGTACTTGGAAGAGTTGTCCAATGAGGGTTATATAACATGCAGTAGTCCTTAGATAGTGAAGGTGTGCCACTTCCAGATGCATGCAGGATTGCTTCCTGAGCAGCTGACTAGGACAAGAACAAAAGCTTTCACACTGGCAATCATTTGTCTTACCAACAACTAAGGATTTCAATAAAACTATTTATATACAGATTTGATTATATTTCCTTAAGAGGGAGAGTCTTTCAGTGAATTTATTTCTTCTTGTTTGAGGTAATAAAAAGAAGGCTTGAGAATACTGAAACTATACACATTTGCCCAGAACACATTCTTTAAGAAGGACAGGTCACTTTCTTATGGGAATAATAATTATGGCTCTTCTTATAAGGGCCATATCCCAGTGAGGATTCTTGCTATTATGTAGTAACTTCAATACTTCCTCACAGCCTGAAAGTTTCCCTCATAATCACCTATGAGTTATTACTTTATTGTTTATGTTTTATAAAAGAAAATGCACTAAAAATTCCTCAACCTGTCTTACCTTCCATATTTTATTAGTAAATAAGATATAAAAGGTACATTATTATTTCTAAGTGCTACTTTTTTTTTTTTTTGGTGGCTGGCCAGTACAGGGATCAAACCCTGGATCTTAGTTCTAAGTGCTATCTTTAGAAGAGAAACAGCTGGAACTTGAAGTAAATTATCTTCACTCAAGTTTTTTTTTTTTTTTTTTTTTCTTTTTTTTTTTTTTGGTGGCTGGCCAGTACAGGGATCAAACCCTGGATCTTAGTTCTAAGGGCTATCTTTAGAAGAGAAACAGCTGGAACTTGAAGTAAATTTTCTTCCCTCAAGTTTTTTTATTTTTTTTTTTCCTTTTTGTCTTTTTTCGTGTCCGGCAACGGATCGCAACCCTCAGTGTCGCGCCCGTACCGGACCGGGACCGGCAACGGGACCGCAAACCTCGGTGCTGCGACCGCACCTCGCTCAGCCAGTGAACGGGAACCGGTCTGTATGTGGGATCCGAACCCTCGGCGGGAGCGCCACCACGCTCTCAAGCGGCGCACTGTAGCAGTGCGCCACCGGGCCGGCCCCAAGTTTTCAAGATTCTGCAACTGCCTATTTAAAAAGACCAATCCAGAGTTTAGAGCACAGAAAAAGAAAGAGCTAGAAAAATTTTTTCTTTTTGTCTAATTTCCCGCCACCTGGAAAGAAATGACAAGAGTAAGAAGTGATAGAAAAGAATAAATGGGAGAAAATATCTGCAAACTATGCATCTGACAAGGGATTAATATCCAGAATATACAAGGAACTCAAGCAGCTAAACAAATAACCTGATTAAAAAATGGACAAAGGAGCTACATAGGCATTTCTCAAAGGAAGATATATAAATGGCTGACAGACACATGAAAAAATGCTTAACATCACTCAGCATCAGAGAAATGCAAATCAAAACAACACTGAGATATCACCTCGCCCCAGTTAGTCTGGCCATTTTCGAAAAGACAGAGAATAACAAATTGCTGGCGAGGATGTGGAGAAAGGGGAACCCTCCTACGCTGTCAGTAGGACTGTAAATTATTGCAGCCATTACACAAAACAGTATGGAGATTCCTCAAATAACTACAGATAGAACTGCCATAAGATCTAGCAATCCCACTGCTGGGTGCATACCCAAAGGAATGGAATCACCATGTCAAAGGGATACCTGCACTCCCATGTTTATCACAGCTCTATTTACAATAGCTAAGAGTTGGAACCAACCTAAACATCCATCGAAAAATGAGTGGATAAGGAAAAGGAATAGTACTCTGCCGTAAAAAAGAATGAAATTCTGCCATTCGCAGCAACATGAATGAACTTAGAGAAAATTATGTTAAGTGAAACAAGCCAGACACAGAAAGAGAAATACTGCATGACCTCACTTATAAGTGGGAGCTAAGAAAATAAACAAGTAAATAAAAGAAAGAAGATAACAACAATCACAATAATTTGTTGAACTTTCAAAAGGAGAGAATGGAACTAAGGCCACCAGAGGAGAGAAAGGGGGAGGAGGAGGGGGTTAGTGAGAAATTGGTAAAGGGCCACAAAAAATGATTACATTGTATAATGATAAATATAGTAATTATCCTGATTTGTGCATCATATATTGTACACAGCTATGGATATTCAACACTGTATTCCACAAATATATACAATCATGTTTCAATAAAAAATAAATAAATAAAAGAATAATTATTGCACATGGGGGTGGGTGGTGGGAGAGGAGAGTATGAAATGAAGAAACACCCTAAAATATTTGGAATACCACTCCACATCACAATTTCCTTCAAACTTGGATCAATACAAAGGCTTCCTCTCTCCTCCACTGAACAAATCTTTTTCTAAAACCGTAAGAAAGAAAAAAAGAGATTGCTTGGCAAATAAAGATGATGTACTAAGCCTCTGCCGCTAAAGCACATATTAGGTCAAACCACGTGAAATTGCTGATATTTGACCATTTTTGATCTACAAAATTGGTAATTTCATACTAGTCAACCTAAATTTCTAATGTGTATAGAGATGTTCCAATTCATGCTCTCCTATCTAAAATGGCACCTGGGCCGGCCTGTGGCTCACTTGGGAGAGTGTGGTGCTGGTAAAATGGCACCTGAACATTTTAAATTACAGGGCTATCTGGCATACTACTCAGGGCTTCATTAGCTTATGGATCTAAGCAAGTGCAGGAAATCCATAAAACATGCCACTAAATTACATAGAATAATTAGATAAGGAAATTAGATGTGGAAAAGAGAAATATAGTTTTTATTCAACTATAAAACTTGGTGGCCATGAATGGATTCTGACAGCAGAGCTGAACAGATGTTAAATTCTTACTGTATAACAAACTATATGCTAGGTTATTTTCATGCATTCATCTGATTCAATGTCACTGTTTTAAAAATGAGGGCTCCGAGACTCAGAGCAGTTACTAACATAACCCACCTAAGGTCATACAGTAGAATCATCTATAATTCTAACCACATAAGGTAATCCTGCAGATAAACATGAGGGTGGATTAGATTTAGGTTAAATATTTTTGGAACAAATACTTCATAAGTGAATAGGGTGCTTTTTACTGCATCCAACAAAATGGCACATAGCAGGATTTCCCACCACTAGTAATGCTGAGTTTGATCATCTGGTTAAGGTAGTAACTGCAGGATTTCTCTAGCGTAAAGGTAATTTTTTTTTCCCCTTTGTAATTGGAAAGTAAGTAATCTGCTGTACCATGTGAATAGCCCAACAACCTCTCACCAGGGCTTAGCCTCTATGATGATCGTTGCCAGAACTGAATTTTACATATTACATTGGGGATTGCAAAATGGTGAATGTTTTTAAATACTGCTATTCCTTCTACATTTATTAGCTAGTATTCTTCTTTTTAGAAGAGCTTTACTCTTTCCCCTACCATCTTTGTTTAGTGTCACTAGAAGAAACTCATTGATTTTTTAAATTCAATGTGATATAATTAAAATTATTAGTTTGACATTCAAATTGTCCCACATTTGGCCAGTATAGCCTCTTCCAGCTGACTCTTTGTATCCTTTTCACAAGACCCCATTAGTTTTTGAGGACTTCTTGTTTTCTTGGTACAAGATATCCTAGGCTGACTTAGTCCTTTATCTGCTATAGATTTGGAACCAGTCATTCCACTAAGCTTCTTTTTGAGAAGAAAGATATTTAGATCAGGATCTGGGTTCTAACTTTGCACACTGCTGCTGAAATGGTAAAATCATTTAGACAGACTATCAGCAGCATCTATAAAAAATTTTACTACATAGAATCTTCTGACTAATATTCTACAGATACATTACACAAATTCACAAAGATAAATGTATAAGGATATTTATTGCAATATTATTTGTTATAGAAAAAAAATCCACAACTTTCACCAATTAGGGGCCTATTACATTATTATTATTATTTTTTTTAAAGATGACCAGTAAGGGGATCTTAACCCTTGACTTGGTGTTGTCAGCACCACACTCAGCCAGTGAGCGAACCGGCCATCCCTATGTGGGATCCGAACCCGGGACCTTGGTGTTATCAGCACCGCACTCTCCCGAGTGAGCCACGGGCCGGCCCAAGGGGCCTATTACATTATGATATGCATAGTACGCAGCTATTAAAAAGAAAGAGCTAGATCTATCTCTAGAAACAGAAGATGTTCACAATGAGAAAAGCAAGTTCCAGGGAGATATTTATAACGTAATCCTACTTTTGTATAATGACCCCACCCCGCAAAAGCCCCTATATTTATCCATACATTTATATGAGCTTGTAGAAAGATGTGGAAAGACACACAAAGAGACAACTAAAGAAAGGAGTGAAAAGAAAACAAAGGCAAAAATGAAGGTGTGAAAAGATTAGAAGAAGAGAAAGTAATAAAAGGGAAAACATTCAGACAAAACAGAGGGTACAGATAAAGTTCCTTTCCTTTCATCCTGGCTCTCGCAGTCACACTCTATCTTTCCAGACACTGTCTAGAAATACTGATTATATATCTCTGTTTGTTTTACACATATGGACTCATACTATACATACTGCTCTGTAGCTTTTCTAAAATTTAAATTTTACATTAGATTTTCCATATTGATACATATACATTACCCCCTTTTATACAACCATATAATATTCTGTTACTTTTTAATTACAAAAACTAAGAGATTTTCTTTAAAAACTTAAATGTTCAAGGAAGTACAAAGATGTCCAAAATTGAGTAAGGTTTATTGCTATAAAGGGTTTACAACCTTTTCTACAATTGTAGAAAATTTAATGAAAAAAGCAAAACTCATTGATATGGGAATTACAAAGGCAAAACACAAATTTTAGTGGAAGACTAGTACAAAAGATGAAAGTACAAACATACATAATTCTAGAATAGTTAGTATTGAATGTGGAGCACACAATTTCATGAGTGAGCTAGCATGCCTAAACAACCTCAGCATTTCCACTACATTTTTAAATACCTTGGTAAAATTTCTCATAGAGATTGCATAGCTTCAAAAATTCAGTTTACCACAATAGATACTGTGGTATAACATTAAGAGCATGAGTTTTGAAATTAGAGACCTAGGACAGAATGCCA